CTAAGGATATCATTATGATATTTACAGATATCCTAAGCATATCACCAGGATATTTACAGATATCCTAAGGATAGCACTAGGATATTTACAGGATACCCTAAGGATATCACCAAGATATTTACAGATATCCTAAGGATATCACCAGGATATTGTTTTCATTTCTGTATGGTGAAAGTTATAGACGAGTGTAGACCATTGAAACATTGTTTTCCTTTTATTTTCTTGCATATTTTATAAAACGTCTTTTCATAGAGTCTGTTCACATAAATCCGGTTACCCGAGAGGTTACCGGAGATTTAACGAAACGAAGTTTAAGCCAGATCATGTGAAATGCAAATGTTTGAAGATATATTTAAAATGGTCACAGCATGATGGTAAAGATTGTATTGTCCAGGGGGACAGTTAGTTCCTTATAAGGATGTTAAAAGACTGTTCTGAAGTCACGCGATGTTCTTAAACACAATAAAAATTACGACATATTAAGGTGTTGTCTCAAACACAAAATATTGTTGACGGCGTCGAGATCAATTTTTTGTACGATTGTTAAATAAAAAGCTCTCATAATTCAGTACATTTGGTAAGTCTATTTCATTATTTCTGTGCTGTTTAACTATATAACTATACTGTCAAGGGTAAATGAATTAATCCAGTTGATAAAAAAGTTAAAATTGCGTTAGTCTATTGACCACAAACGCCGCTCGCCATAAAGTTCCGTGTTTGAATCATATTTTAAAGTCAATTCAAAACAGTGATTTTTAAATTCGTTCAAACGATCCAAATTTGTCGGTTAATTCCAATTAACTCCTAAAGGATGTTTTATAGCGTGTTGAAATGCAATGTATAGCGCAGCAAATCAACTTAAGCTAATGCAGACTTATGCAGTACTGATTTAGGTCAGAGGTGAATTGGATCCTAAAAAATTGGATCGTGTTAACATGCAGATCTTTAGAGCATTTATTGAACTTATTTCCATCGCCTGTATTCGACGTGGTAATGCAGAATGCGAATTTGTAAAAACTGCTTAAATGGAAGACATATTTTCCTAATAGCAGTCTTACAAACAACACTGTCTGTCTGTGTCTTGGTGTGATCACTTTTAAATGTGTTGGTTATGAGGGACTTATGGTACAGAGAATGTTAGTTTTGCATATACAATCGACAAAAGACATTTGAAGTACAGATTTCGATTGAAATACACAGTTAAAATAGCAGTTCTGAGTAATAAATGCTATCGACTTGATACGTGTCACAACATCACACAGCAGGTGAATGAATTCTTCGCATATTTTTCCGGTTTGAAGAACACTAAAATGGCTCTTATAAAACCCGAATTGAGAAGCGTTATGGCGAACATATCTTTTGCGAAAATGCTCGTAAGATAAAGAGACTATAAAATATTTGAAGTTCTTAGTACAACCGTTATCCATAAATCATAATTTATTTTCTAGTCGTCCATAAATGGCTCAGAGAATGGAGAAAGATGAACAAGGTTATGATGAAAGACGTTTTAAAGGAACAATCAGCGAAGATCTCTTCTGTTCTATTTGTCAAGGAGTGCTCAGAAACCCTCGAACTTGCCATAAAGAACATGCATTTTGTCATTTCTGTATTTCTGAACATCTTCGTCATTCCCACACGTGTCCTGAATGCAGGGAACATCTCACTCCAGAAACCCTGAAAGATCCTCCGAGATTTATGAAGAACACTTTGGCAGCGCTGAAAATCAAGTGTGGATACAGCGAAAGAGGTTGTCCAGGCTTTGTCTTGCTTGAGAGTTTACAAAATCATGTTGATAAATGTGGTTTTGCACCCGTGACTTGCAAGAATGAAGGATGTGGAATGGAGGTGAATAAAAGAGATAAAGATCTTCACGAGAAAGATCTTTGTGAGTTTAGAATCGCCAAGTGTCACGACTGTAAAGAGATTAGAGCAAGTCAAGAAGAAACAAAGGTACCCTAGCTAATGTACTGTCTTTATTTTAAAGTTATGTTTTATACAATGCCATGTCTTAGATATTTAAATTTTTCTTTGAAGAAAAGCGTTGAAGTCATGAAGCAGTCTCAGGCTGAAATGAAAGTGGAATCGAACAAAATGAAGGCAAGAAAATTCTATTTCTTCTTTTGGAGTTTTGCAAAGCGAACAGATTTACTAAAGAAAAGTATACGAGTTAAAAACAGTGTTTTTTAATTCAGGATTCTGTGAACCAAATGAAAGTAACTCAAAATGCAATGAAAACAAGTCAAGATGAAACGAAAGCAGAATCAAACAGAATTAAGGCAAAAGATTTCCTTTGTTCTTTTGCAGTTTTGTTTACAAATAAAAAGCATATGAAATAAATACAGTGTTTTTCAATTCAGGATTGTGTGGATCAAATGACAGTAACTCAAGATGAAATAAAACTAAGTCAAGATAAAATGAAAGTAACTCAAAATCAAATGAAAGTAACTCAAAATCAAATGAAAGTAACTCAAGATGCAATGAAAGCAGGTCAAGATGAAACGAAGGTAAGTCAGTACTTGTTTTCTTAGAATAATATAAACGTGTTTTAAAGTTTTATCGGAAAAATCCTAATTTCAGGTTATTGCGCGTTATTTTTATTTAAATCAATCCCTCCGACCAATCATTGTAGCCTATGTAAAGATAACAAAAAGTTATATAACATGTGATCCTTGACATTTAAAATTTACCAATTTAGAAAAGAGTTGATGAGATGAGACGATCTCAAGCGAGGTTTGAAGCTGAGGTGAAACAACAATTGGAAAGAATGACGGAAATGATGAATCAGTTATTGCAGGGAAACAATTTAAACAACATCAATGGTGCCAGCGCTATGGAACCAGCAACTGTAGAAAACAAACAAGATGTTATTATTATTGGTGGTTGGTATGGCCTAGGAGATGACGCGATGTTAAATACAGTCGAGAAATACAACATAGTAGAAGGAAAGTCAACTCTGCTGCCAGGATTGAATCATCCTCGAGCAGCATCAGCATCGTGCGTTTACAACAATGACGTTCTTGTCGTTGGTGGTCAGGATCGTGAAGGTGGAACTGACAGGATCGAAGTTTTGAAGATGAACCAACATCCTTTAAGATGGACAATGTTTGATGGTAAACTGCCTGTCAAATTATCTGGTCATGACGTCATAGTTTATCAAGGAAAATTATATATAATAGGAGGATATGACGGCAATGAAAGAAAAACATCGAATGCCATTTATGAGATTGCTCTTACCCCACCTTATACTGCCAAGATGCTGAAGAGAATGCCTGAGCCAAGAAGATATCACAAAGCAGAATTTGTCAATGGAAAGCTCTTTATCTTGGGCGGAACAACAACCATCTTTAGTAAAGATGCTCTTGACAGCGTTGTTGTTTATGATTTCATTAAGAATGAGTTCAAGCCATGTCCATCCTTACCTCAGCCTGTTTGTTTTATGTCCACAGTCACTTGGGGTCATATGATCATTGTCGTTGGTGGTGAGGATAAGAATTACCAGATATTAAATGACGTCATAATGTACGACACAGAGACTGGGCGAAGCGAGAGACTACCCTCCATGATTTACAAAAGGAGCGGCAGCTCTGTCGTGATCATGAATGACGTCATTGTCGTGTTTGGTGGATGGAATAGGGAGCAGGGATATCTCAACTCAGTGGAATCTTTCACCATTGGTGGAGATCGCTGGAAAGAACTGCCAGGAATGATAGAAAAAAGACGCAATGCTACTGCTGTAGTTAAACCTCACAAGTGAAAAGTTTTCTCACAAACGGTAGTAATTTCGAACGATAATATCTACAACTATATATTTTGTGTCTAATATTTCAGTCAACTCCTGCACGAGATGTATAAAGGCGGTGTTACACTATGTAACTTTCCTTGCAACTTGCAATTCAATTCTACTCCTGAGGCATCTAAAGTTGTCAAATACGAACATTTCTTACGATCTGCTGACGTTTTCTTAGCATTTCGAACACTCTTTACAAATTAACATCCCTCAAAATTATTATTGCATTGCAAGTTGCAAGAAAAGTTGCAAAGTGTAACACCGCCTAGCCTAAAAGTGTTTAAAATGATTTCATTTTGAAATCTCAACGAAACTAAACGAGCTTCGTTCATAGTTACTTTGTAAATATTGTAGATATAATATATATTGGCATATCTCATTTTTAAACGAACATTTTAATCTGAACTAGCGAACACTTAATAGTGAAATCAGTAAAATATTTAATTTCATTTTGATATAATTAAAATAAAGGTAGATTTTTCATATTTTTTTACTTTTCTAAGTTTCAATGACTTAGGTTGGATGTGCTCAGTCTTTTTCATTACGTCATTATGTCATGAATTATGATGTCATTATTTATACCTTTATTTGACGTCACTTGTAGCATTCTGTGCACAAAAAATACCCGTGACTACGATATGAAAGTTCGTGAAATGGAAGTCGGCATTTATGATATTCCACAGCGTCTAATAGTGATTTCTGAATCGTGTGTAGAAACACGTTCTCTTGAAATCCTGACAGACGTCAATGCTCCAGTGATCTTTTTAAAAGGATCAGTCAAAGAATGACGTAGAAATACCGGATGTTTTGAATAAGACGAAGCATCAAAGATAAGATTTCAAGTTTTCGTCTTAAACACAGGATATTTACAGGATATCCTAAGGATATCACCAGGATATGGTTTTCATTTCTGTATGGTGAAAGTTATAGACGAGTGCAATTGACACGTTGTTTCTCTTTTATTTTCTTGCATATTTTAAAACGTTTTTTCATAGGGTCTCTTCCGGTACACCGAGATTTATCGAAACGAAGTGTAAGCCAGATCATGTGAAATGCAAATGTTTGAAGATTTATTTAAAATGGTCACAGCATGATGGTAAAAATTGTATTGTCCAGGGGAACAGTTAATTCCTTATAAGGATGTTAAAAGACTGTTCTGGAGTCACGCGATGTTCTTAAATACAATAAAAATTACGACATATTAAGGTGTTGTCTCAAACACAAAATATTGTTGACGGCGTCGAGACCAACTTGTTGTACGATTGTTAAATAAAAAGCTGTCATAATTTAGTACATTTGGTAAGTCTATTTCATTATTTTTGTGCTGTTTAACTATATAACTATACTGTCAAGGGTAAATGGGTTAATCCAATTGATAAAAAAGTTAAAATTGTGTTAGTCCATTGACCACAAACGCCGCTCGCCATAAAGTTCGGTGTTTGAATCTTATTTTAAAGTCAATTCAAAACTGTCATTTTTAAAGTCGTTCACACGATCCAAATTTGTCGGTTCCAATTAACTCCTAGAGGATGTTTTATAGTTTGTTGAAATGCAATGTATAGCGCAGCAAATCAACTCAAGCCAAAGCAGCCGGACTTATTCAGTACTGACTTATCAATAACCTGACTACATTTCATACGTCAGACGTGAATTGGATCCTCCAAAATTGGATCGTGTTAACATGCAGACCTTTAGAGCATTTATTGAACTTATTTCCAACGCCTGTAATGCAGCATGGGAATTTGTAAAAACCGCTTAAATGGAAGACATATTTTCCTAATAGCAGTCTTACAAACAACACTGTCTGTGTCTTGGTGTGATCAGTTTTAAATGAGTTGGTTGAGATGGACTTATGGTACAGAGAATGTTAGTTTTGCATATACAATCGACAAAAGACATTTGAAGTACAGATTTCGATTAAAGTACAGAGTTAAAATAGCAGTTCTGAATAATAAATGATATCGACTTGATACGTGTCATAACATCACACAGCAGGTGAATGAATTCCTCGCATATTTTTCCGGTTTGAAGAACACTAAAAAGGCTCTTATAAAACCCGAATTGAAAAGCGTTATGGCGAACATATCTTTTGTGAAAATGCTGGTAAGATAAAGAGAGTATAAAATATTTAAAGATGAGAAACACTTGAACAAGTCTCACCTGGTTTTAAGTATTGCCTCGTTTCCATCAAGGACGCTAATGTGATGTAATATTTCTTTGTTTTCAGTCAACAATTATTGATTTGAATACAGAAATAAAGACAAATTTAGATCCGGACTATTAATTATTCATCGGTTAAAGTGGCTTGTTCACAACTATTAGGACAAAATCACGATCAATTCAAAATCACGTTGTCCTCATTAAGAAGCACCTCTAGACACATTTCAGACGAATTTAGACTTGACAAGATGTTGAATTGTAGAACCATACACAAAGTCGTTCGAACAATTTGTAACAAGTCTTTCGAGTCAACAACAACCTTGAAGAAAGTTACGAAAAAGCCACTGATTAACAAACTCGTTAACAAGCAGGGGATAGTTCCTAGTACAACCGTTGTCCATAAATCATAATTTATTTTCTAGTCGTCCATAAATGGCTCAGAGAATGGAGGAAGATGAACAAGGTTATGATGAAAGACGTTTTGAAGGAACAATCAGCGAAGATCTTTTCTGTTCTATTTGTCAAGGAGTGCTCAGAAACCCTCGAACTTGCCATAAAGAACATGCATTTTGTCATTTCTGTATTTCTGAACATCTTCGTCATTCCCACACGTGTCCTGAATGCAGAGAACATCTCACTCCAGAAACCCTGAAAGATCCTCCGAGATTTATGAAGAACACTCTGGCAGCGCTGAAAATCAAGTGTGGATACAGCGAAAGAGGTTGTCCAGGCTTTGTCTTGCTTGAGAGTTTACAAAATCATGTTGATAAATGTGATTTTGCACCCGTGACTTGCAAGAATGAAGGATGTGGAATGGAGGTGAATAAAAGAGATAAAGATCTTCACGAGAAAGATCTTTGTGAGTTTAGAATCGCCAAGTGTCACGACTGTAAGAAAATAAGAGCAAGTCAAAGAGAAACTATGGTAAGATTGTTCTTGTTTTGTTCAAGGTTGTTAATAGTAGAATTGCTTTGTCAATATAGTTCAGGCATATTAACTTTGCATGCAGTGTGCAGAGAAAAGGTCAGTATAAATTGAGACCGTAGTATTTTCCATTCAATTCAGGAAAAAGTTGATGAGATGAGACGATCTCAAGCGAGGTTTGAAGCTGAGGTGAAACAACAGTTGGAAAGAATGACGGAAACGATGAATCAGTTATTGCAAGGAAACAATTTAAACAACAACATCAATGGTGCGAGCGCTATGGAACCAGCAAATATTCAAGATGTTAATATTATTGGTGGTTGGTACGGGTCAAATGATTCCGAAGTCTTAAACACAGTCGAGAAATACAACATAGTAGAAGGAAAGTCAACTCTGCTGCCAGGATTGAATCATCCTCGAGCAGCATCTGCATTGTGTGTTTACAACAATGACGTTCTTGTCGTTGGTGGTTTCGATGGTAAAGTAGGAACTGACACGATCGAAGTTTTGAAGATGAACCAACATCCTTTGCGATGGACAATGTTTGATGGTAAACTGCCTGTCAAATTATATAGTCATGACGTCATAGTTTATCAACGAAAATTATATATAATGGGAGGATATGATGGGAATGAAAGAAAAACATCGAATGCCATTTATGAGATTGCTCTGACCCCAACTTATACTGCCAAGCTGCTGAAGAAAATGCCTGAGCGAAGAAGATATCACAGAGCAGAACTTGTTAATGGAAAACTATTTATCTTGGGCGGAACAACAACCATCTATAGTAAAGATGCTCTTGACAGCGTTGTTGTTTATGATTTGATTAAGAATAAGTTCAAGCCATGTCCATCGTTACCCCAGCCTGTTTGTTATATGTCCACAGTCACTTGGGGTCATATGATTATCGTCATTGGTGGTGGGAATAAAAATGGCCAGGTATTGAACGACGTCATAATGTACGACACAGAGACTGGGCGAAGCGAGAGACTGCCCTCCATGATTCACAAAAGGAAAGGTTGCTCTGTCGTGATCATGAATGACGTCATTGTCGTGTTTGGTGGATGGAATAAGGAGCAGGGAGATCTCAACTCAGTGGAATCTTTCACCATTGGTGGAGATGGCTGGAAAGAACTGCCAGGAATGATAGAAAAAAGACGCTGGGCTACTGCTGTAGTTAAACCTCACAACTGAAAAGATTTCTCACAAACGGTAGTAATTTCAAACGATAATATCTACAATTATATATTTTGTGTCTAATATTTCAGTCAACCCTTGCACGAGATGTATAAAGGCGGTGATACACTATGCAACTTTCCTTGTAACTTGCAATGCAATTCTACTCCTGAGGCATCTAAACTAGTCAAACACGAACATTTCTTTCGATCTGGTGACGTTTTCTTGGCATTACGAACATTCTTTACAAATTAACATCCCTCAAAATTACTATTGCATTGCAAGTTGCAAGAAAAGTTGCATAGTGTAACACCGCCTAGCTTAAAAGTATTTAAAATGATTTCATTTTGAAATCTCAACGAAACTAAACGAGTTTCGTTCATAGTCAATTTGTAAATATTGTAGATATAATATATATTGGCATATCTCATTTTCAGTAAACGAACATTTTAATCTAAACTAGCGAACACTTAATAGTGAAATCAGTAGAATATTTTATTTAAATTTGATATAATTAAAATAAAGGTAGATTTTTCATATTTTCTACTTTTCTAAATTTCAATGACTTGGTTGTGCTCAGTCTTTTTCTTTACGTCATTATGTCATGAATTATGATGTCATTATTAATACCTTCATTGACATAACTTGTAGCATTTTGTACACAGAAGGCTTAAATCTCGAATAGTATTTTAAAGTCAATTTTCATATGACTGTTATTACTAGAAAAAGAAAATAAAAGAGAAACAATGTTGAAACAGAAACAGAAGTGAAAATCAAATCCTGGTGATATCCTTAGGATATCTGTAAATATCCTGGTGATATGCTTAGGATATCTGTAAATATCCTGGTGATATCCTTAGGGTATCCTGTAAATATCCTGGTGATATCCTTAGGATATCTGTAAATATCCTGGTGATATCCTTAGGGTATCCTGTAAATATCCTGGTGATTTCCTTATAAGGTTGACAAAGGATCACGTTGAAATCACGAGATTTCCTGAGCTAGGGATGAAAATTACGACATATCAAGGTGTTGTCTTGATTCTTAAACACAAAATACTACAGACAGCGTTAAAATCAACTTGTCGCAGAACGACACAGCGCAAAGCTCTCAAGTCTCAATATTCAATAACACTGGTAAGTCTAATTTCATTATCTATTTGTCGTTTAAACTGCCAGGGTCTGTCCAGTATTTATAATAAAACGCGTTGTGATTAAGTTTCACTACGAACAGCAAACACACTGCAACGCAATTAACTTTGAATCACGTTTTAAATCGTTACTGCTTGAATGTTAGTTGAACTTATAATATAACCTCATATAATCTTTATCAATTACTGTTTCAGTAAAGCGTTGAATGCCTTTATTGTCTGAAAGCATATATTTTTCCCTCTAAACGCATGACCGACATTATTGAGCGCAATACGTCTGAACGCGTAAGGCAACAATGAACGCGAGGTATTACACAGTTAAAATTAAGATACCGAGACCAAAGGCAGTTGTGACAGGAAGAAAAAGACGAGGTAATATGGAGAAAGTAGACAAAATTTGGTTTCAATTGTTGACGTCGGAGAACGCAAAGTTTCAAATCTTCTCAACTGCAGCCACGCAACTGACGCAACCAGCCTTCTGTTGCTGTGATTGTTGAAGAGTTTGAATTAAGGCGACTAACAGTAATTCTCGCGTATTGTAGAATATTATAATTCATCGTCCTGGTGAAATATCAGATAAAGAGAACAACAAACTGTAGACTGTTCAATGATTACACAATTTCAAAACATCAGCGCCTCAAATTACGAATAGCTTTCGATTTGTCTGATCCATTCTGCTGTGGGGAAAATATTACGACATAAACTTTGTTTTGAAAGGATAGATTTTAGCTCATAAAACTGTTGACTTGATTCTAAACAAACGAATCAAGTAAATGATTCCTATAATTATATTTCAAACGGCTTTATACGACTTGATATTCTGGCAGTCGTTATGAGACACGGAAGTTACAAGAATGAGTCTCTCGCCTGAAGGACACAAGCCCGCAATTCGAAAGCTATAGCAAAGGTATTTTACTGGCATGTTGTCAAAACGAAAACAAACTAAAATATTTTGAAATATCGAAGATGAAACATGAAATAGTCACAATCTGTTTTATGTATGCATGATCACATAACAACTCTAATCAACGTTTCCGACAAGTCTCGAGTTTGTATTTGTTTGAAAGAATTGAATTAAGATCATGTTACGCCTTGTAATTTATAAACCATTCATCCAGTCACAGTCTAATCCTTGCTGAGATCAGTTGATTCAAGCTGCAGAGAGATTGTGAAGTATTGTCTCGCAGTATTAGCAAAAGTAAAAGTTGGTTTAACTTTTTATGCAACTTGCAATGAGTTCACAGTTTTTTCTCACAGCATTTTGAATTGTAAGGAGTAGAGCTTTTAACCAAGGTCGAATTATAAGGCAAAGTTACAAATGATGCACAGTGTCTATCTGTTGTTACCTTGTACGAAAATTGGACAGAGAACTTACTTTCACAATAGTGAAGCAAATGCAAGTTTAGCGAGATTAAGGGCAGGTTTAATTCAGCCAAAGACATGCTTTACTTGTTACATCAGTAAACAAAACTATATTTTCGCCAACACATTTTTAGCAAACCTGACAACATGTTGTAACAATGTTGTCACTCGTAACTTGTTGAAACTGCCGTCGCGTGCGATGGAACAAGAATTTGAACAACCAAAGCCATAATCCATAAATCATAATTTATTTTCTAGTCGTCCATAAATGGCTCAGAGAATGGAGGACGATGAAGAAGGTTATGATGAAAGACGTTTTGAAGGAACAATCAGCGAGGATCTCTTCTGTTCTATTTGTCAAGGAGTGCTCAGAAACCCTCGAACTTGCCATAAAGAACACGCATTTTGTCATTTCTGTATTTCTGAACATCTTCGTCATTCCCACACGTGTCCTGAATGCAGAGAACATCTCACTCCAGAAACCCTGAAAGATCCTCCGAGATTTATGAAGAACACTCTGGCAGCGCTGAAAATCAAGTGTGGATACAGCGAAAGAGGTTGTCCAGGCTTTGTCTTGCTTGAGAGTTTACAAAATCATGTTGATAAATGTGGTTTTGCACCCGTGACTTGCAAGAATGAAGGATGTGGAATGGAGGTGAATAAAAGAGATAAAGATCTTCACGAGAAAGATCTTTGTGAGTTTAGAATCGCCAAATGTCACGACTGTAAAGAGATTAGAGCAAGTCAAGAAGAAACAAAGGTAAGATTTTTCTTGTTTGGTTTTTAAAAAAGCTAATTCGATTGCTTTGTAGATGCCGTAGAAAAAAACATTGTTACAAAGATAACTGACCCTAGCTAATGTACTGTCTTTATTTAAAAGTTATATTTTATACAATGCCATGTCTTAGATATTTAAATTTTTCTTCCAAGAAAACCGTTGAAATGATAAAACAGTTTCAGGTTGAAATGAGAGCAAAATCGAACAAAATGAAGGCAAGAAAATTCTATTTCTTCTTTTGGAGTTTTGCAAAGCGAACACATTTACTAATGAAAAGGATATGAAATAAATACAGTGCTTTTTAATTCAGGATTGTGTGGATCAAGTGAAAGTAACTCAAGATGAAATGAAACTAAGTCAAGATGAAATGAAAGTAACTCAAGATGAAATGAAAACAAGTCAAGATGAAATGAAAACAGAATCAAACAGAATTAAGGCAAGAGATTTCCTTTGTTCTTTTGCAGTTTTGTTTACTAATGGAAAGCATATGAATTAAATACAGTGTTTTTCAATTCAGGATTGTGTGGATCAAATGAAAGTAACTCACGATGCAATGAAAGCAAGTCAAGATGAAACGAAGGTGAGGCAGTACTTGCTTTCTTAGAATAATATAAACGTGTTTTAAAGTTTTATCGGAAGGATCCTAATTTCAGCTTATTGTACGTCATATTTATTTAAATGAAACGTTCCGACACATCATTGTGGCCTATGTAAAGATAGGAAAAAGTTATTTAACATGTGATTTTTGACATTTAAAATTTACCCATTTAGGAAAAAGTTGATGAGATGAGACGATCTCAAGCGAGGTTTGAAGCTGAGGTGAAACAACAGTTGGAAAGAATGACGGAAATGATGAATCAGTTATTGCAAGGAAACAATTTAAACAACAACATCAATGGTGCCAGCGCTATGGAACCAGCAACTGTAGAAAACAATCAAGATGTTATTATTATTGGTGGTTGGTATGGCTCAGGAAGTGACAAGATATTAAATACAGTGGAGAAATACAACATAGTAGAAGGAAAGTCAACTCCGCTGCCACGATTGAATCATCCTCGAGCAGCATCAGCATTGTGTGTTTACAACAATGACGTTCTTGTCGTTGGTGGTCACGATGGTAAAGAAGGAACTGACAAGATCGAAGTTTTGAAGATGAACCAACATCCTTTGCGATGGACAAAGTTTGATAGTAAACTGCCGCTCAAATTATATGCTCATGACGTCATAGTTTATCAAAAAAAATTATATATAATAGGAGGACATGACGGGAATGAAGGAAAAACATCAAATTCAATTTATCAGATTGCTCTTAACCCACCTTATACTGCCAAGCTGCTGACGAGAATGCCTGAGGCAAGAAAATATCACAGAGCAGAACTTGTTAATGAAAAACTATTTATCTTGGGCGGGACGACAACCGACCTTAGTAAAGATGCTCTAGACAGCGTTGTTGTTTATGATTTGATTAAGAATGAGTTCAAGCCATGTCCATCGTTACCTCAGCCTGTTTCTGCTATGTCCACAGTCGCTTGGGGTCATATGATCATCGTCGTTGGTGGTTTGGATAAGAATTACCAGGTATTAAATGACGTCATAATGTACGACACAGAGACTGGGCGAAGCGAGAGACTGCCCTCCATGATTCACAAAAGGAGCGGCAGCTCTGTCGTGATCATGAATGACGTCATTGTCGTGTTTGGTGGATGGAATAAGGAGCAGGGATATCTCAACTCAGTGGAATCTTTCACCATTGGTGGAGATGGCTGGAAAGAACTGCCAGGAATGATAGAAAACAGGAGGTATGCTACTGCTGTAGTTAAACCTCACAACTGAAAAGATGTTCCACAAACGGTAGTAATTTCTAACGATAATATCTACAACTATATATTTTGTGTCTAATATTTCAGTCAACTCTTGCACGAGATGTATAAAGGCGATGTTACACTATGCAACTTTCCTTGCAACTTGCAATGCAAATCTACTCCTGAGGCATCTAAAGTTGTCAAAT